CCAAGATTTGTTTGACTTCATTAAAAAATAAAATAGTTTTTGTGGGATGGAAACTTTTTGAGGTCAAAACCCCCCACCCCCAAACTAAAGGAAATAAGTTTTTTTATCCGACATCGATCTTTTGACGTCGTCCCTTAGCTTTAACACTTGTATCTATTTCACTAGATCAGTGGCGGCGTTACGAAATATTGCATTTTGCGGGGATAGGTTTATCATCCCTTACTAGAGGGTTTGGGGCATGCTCCCTCTGAAACGTTATTACCTGTGTTTTGAGGGGCAAGAAAGGCCTTCTTCTTAGAGTGTGTCTCATTGACACACATACACAAAGGGTTACAGATTGATTTGCGGATGACGCATCCCTTTTTTTTTTCGCGAGGACGACTGCCCAACCCAACATCGTTCAAGTTGTTGAATTCGTTCTGATAACAAAATTTAACACACACGGCACATGGTTTAAAAGGTAAAGTGGCGTGTTATCTGCGTTGTTCGTGTTGTTATTAAGCACAGTTTGGCACATCCAAATTTCACCTATTGTTCTCAATTTCCCGATTAAGTTACGTTCAATACGCCATACATCACATGTAATCTCCGTAATGCACAGACAAGAACACCTACCACAGAGATGGAGGACACAGTCACAGTCAGCTGGCGTACTCGTTGTAATAGAACTGAATCATGAAACTAAATAAAGAGATATGTTGAGAGATCGGGAGAAAATACAAAATGTTTACAGCCAAACGATACGTTTGGGCAAAATTAAGCCAACCACTAACAAAAACCTGCTGAATTCGTCGATAGTGTGTCGAAAATCCCCTTGCACAAGAACACCTAATTACGCGAAAAATATAGATCCATTTTCCGGGATTTTTGAAACCGAAATAGTCATCGAACTGTGAGGAATTCGCTGTTCGGCTTCTGACTTCTGATACATTCATTCACTCATTTTCATATATGTCATTCAAAGCTTAAAGGGCGGTGGTCGTCGTGCCGCGTCCTGTTCGATATGGGACTCATAGCGACGTATACAACGCGTGTAAAATACATTGTTTATTTACATGAAATTCGAACACGCGCTGCGCGACGACTACTGCGCTTTAAAACGGTGGCGCTCTTGACAACCGTTAAGTAGGTTTAATTTATTTTGCCAGAATTCGTCATATAAACACACATTCTCTAACCTCTAGTTTATCAAATATTCCCATACAATCTCAACCAAAAGATAATTTTGCTAGTTTACACCGTATCTTATAAAGATGAAATAGACAATTTTATTGAATATTAATAAATTCATTTGATCTGTCAAACGACTAATTTTCACTGGGTTTAAATCGTCCAGCCATCGA